GCTTCAGCTCGCTTAAGTGCGAAGCAAACGCTAAGCTAGCTTTAGCCATTGAAACTTCAACAGTCGAAGTACTCGGACTACTATAGCTCTCGCTCGAGCCATCCGGGGTTCGTTCTAGCGAAGAGTGCAATTAGCCCTAAAATCTGTTTTCAAAAAAAAAAAAAAAATACTGCAACAGTTGGGTTGGTTTCTATATCAACTCGGCAATATAGAAATGTTAATTTCTTAATTGATGGGACCTTTCTTCACGACAAGTATATATGGAAGATGTTAATTGTATTTGCTATTGTGGATGAACAGACTCGTAGTAGTTGAGGTTGGTTTCTACATCAACTTCGGCAATATGTTGTGCAGAGTCGGCAAGGGATATGTTTGCTCTTGGATTGGCATAAATGTAGAATTGCTACGGTGAATGAAGAAGATTCTGGGTGGACTGAGTCAAATACTTATCACTAGTTCCAGTGTTGTGAAAAACTCGCCTAGGCGAGAAGCGAAGCGAAGCGAGCCTTGGTCGCGTTGAACCGAGGTCAAGTAAAGAGAGGAAAAAGTGAGCTTAGGCGACAAAGCAAAGAAGCGAGCCAGGCGAGAAAAGCGAATGCCTAACTGCAGTTTTTTTATTTTCTCCTCCTCCTTCTTTAACATTAACCAAACTTTAGCAGAGATGGAGTTATATGTGTATATGTATAAAATAAATTGATTGATTCATATAACAGTAGCATATGACAATCTGTCTTACTAAGATTAGATAATGTTGAATGCTTTGTTTTGATGTAAATGCTCTTGTTAATCAATTTTCTTGGTTAATCAAATTGATTAATTAATTTGCTATATATTCTATTTGATTAATCAATTTGTGAGTGCTTTGTTTAGTGGTGATATTAATCAATCATGGTAGAAGTTGAACTCACATTTGCTAATTTTATATTTAAATGACGTGATTATGTCAATTGATTATTTTTAGAATACAATAATGTTCAATATTTAATATTTTGTATATTTAAAATATGTTGAAGTTTATTATTTTGATTATATTTAAATAATTTTATATTTGTAAAGTTAAAACTTGAATATTTAGAGTAATCAAAGTATTAAACTAAAATATTTGCTTATTTTTTAAATCATTCGCTTTGCTTCAATGAAGCGCTCGCTTCGTTTCTCATTTCTCACTTAGACCCTCAGGAGATCGGTTCGCTTCGATTTGTTTTACGCCTTATAACATTGACCAGTTCTATCATAGTCGTGTGCGGAGAATTTTAAGTTTAAGGATGAGTACTTGAAGAAGCTTGTATAGAGGGCTGGGAAAGTGTGGCAAATCTGCAAGTTCAATCTTTTGATGTAGGAGATAAGGACACTTAATGGGGAAGCGTGGGAGTACTTGAACAAGATTTCAATACACCAGTGGACACTAGCCCATGATGACAGATGATGATATGACATGATAACAACCAACATTTAGGAGGTTTTCTATAGTGCACTCCGAGGTGCAAAGCTTTATGCCCATCACTGCTTATGTGCAATCGATATTCTTTCGGGTCACCAAATACTTTTATGATAACCGAGATGCAGAGTAAAATGCTGTGAAAATGGTATGGCATTCTCTAGTTATGCCATCGAGATTGTATCATGTTCCCAGCAAAAGGCTAGGCATGAGTTGAGGCCATTTCACATGTAGCATGGACTTGTCGAACCAAAAATGGTATGGTGTTCTCTAGTTATGCCATTAAGATTGTAGCACATTCCTAGCGAAAGGTTGGCTCGAGTTGAGGACATTTCAAACGCAGTGTAGACTTGTCAAAGTGGTGATGATGAAGGGTAATACACGTTTGTATTGACGGGTGTTTGTGCACCTTCGAAAAATGGGTCATATTTCGAATGCCTTTTCTCATGTGTTGACTGCTTGTTCGCATTTCAGATTGGACTTTATGAAGTTTATAGATCTAGTGTATATAGCATGCGTTCGTTAGAGAACCCTAGTGCACCTGAATTTCATCCTCTCTACCATCAAGATTATTGGGATGATCATGAATGCCCCACTTTATAACTTGATCCTGAGCTTTGTCGAGTAGTTTTAGGTCATTCAAAGATGTGCATACGCAATTGGGACACAATTGTTGAAAATTTCCATCGAAAAACGTATGAATTTAGCATTTAGTCATCAATTATAGTTTTTTATTTTGTCATTTTGACTTGCTTGTATCAAAGTTTGTAATGAACCTTATCCATCGAAAAACCTACAAGCTTCAACATTGGGTAATCAACTATAAGTACTTAGTTATTTTATGTCATTTTGACTTGATTGTATCAAAGTTTGCAATGAACCGCACATACTCATCTTTGTGTGTCTTTTTGTTATTTTTTAGTGTATCACTACTTGCATCTATAATTAAACAAGTTGGTTTGAAATTTTTTTGATTGCACTTGCTTGATAGTTATTTATATTTGATGCAAAAAATGGGTAATTAATGTTCTGTTGACTTCATTTGCAGATTTAGGTTCTAAGAATAGAGCCGGATCTGAGAGAATTAGTGATGTAGATTAGGAAGGGAAGAATTAGAGATGAGAAGAAAAGAAGAAAGGGATGAAAAAAGAGAAATAATTTGAGGAGGAAGCAATATTAGTATTCAATAATATCCAAATTATCTAAATAACTCTCATAACTAATCTATAACATATATCTAATTCCTACACGATCCCCATCAATTAGTGTAGCCCGAACAGGATGATCCATATGTGTTATCTTTATAGGCCCACCATCGTTAGGATATCTAGCAAGGCCGTGGTCTCCACCCATTGCATTGTACATGCAGTGAATGCTTGCTTCGTTGCTTGCATGTCACTAATCGTTGGGTGCTTAGATATCTATTTACAACTGGTTTTTCAGGTGTGCATCAGATCGGGGACATGTAGCTCAATTGATATCTCCTCATTGCTCTTGTGGAAAGGTGGTGGTGTTGAGATGCACTCGTTCCACCCAGTAGGTGAGGCTACCATCACTCTGTAGGATATAACTATATTGCTCGGGCTACCCTTGGAGAGGGAGCTATAGACCGATCCACATTCAAGGCTCAGTTCGTTGAGGGACAATTGGAGAAGGGGATAGATGTTGATGCAACCGAGCATTTCATTGCCTATCATACATCATGCAATTGATTGGATTTTTTTTTTAGATAAGTCATCGAGTAAGATTAAGCTCATGTACCTTCTTTTGCTCGCGGATCTTAATGCTGCATAAAGGTATAGTTAGGACTGCGCAACATTGGCGAGACTATACTGTGAGATGTGCGTCACGACTAGATATTATGCTAAAGACATTAGTGGCCTTTTTGTTATGCTGCTAATAATATGTATACGTCCTTCATATCAATTTTAAGTAATTTATAAACCTATTTGAACTTGACATGTAATATTTGTTAATAATATGTATCTCATTTCTGTAGTGGGCATGAGAGCACCCCACGTCAGTACGCACCACATGTTGAAGAAGATTTAGGTGAGGTACATCCGGATGAGGCTGCTCCACATATTGCAGCAGATGTTGGAGAGCAGGTAGATGTTGACGAGGCGTTACTTGCACGTCCTCTAGGGTGTAGGTAAGTGAACAAATCATACCATATACTGGTTTTTTTTTTTTTTTTTTTCATGTCATTTGAAATGCAATTATGTCCTTGATTGGATTGTGTTTTTTTATTTTTTGTTGCATTTGGGATGTGACATTTTCAGAGCAAGACAACCCCAAACATGTTCTACGACATTACAGATATCAACTTGACAAAATAACAAATGAGCAGGTATAATTCAAAAACATTTGTTATGAATGAATGTTCATGTGATATTTGAACTCGATTTTAGTTTTTGTTATGGTTTATGTTCGCGGGATTTTGTAGTGGTGGTGGTTTGTAACCGCCTAGTAGTATGTTGTGGTGGTTTGAAAGTAGTTTTTTATTTTTCTGCGGTCATTGTTTAGGGAAATTGTCTATTTTCTTAACATAAATATAGATGCTTTATTTCTATGTTTGTTGGATTTAATGGGTTGTGTTTGCACTTTTCGTGTGTTAACGTTATTGTGGAGGTTTGTAATAGCCTCTTTAGTATTTTGTGGTGGATTGAAAATGATTATGGTGGTTGGTGGTTTGACAGGTTTTTAGATTTGGTTGTCCTATTTTTTGATGGAATTTTGCCGAATTTTTTTTAGATAAATAGCGGTATAATTGTTGGATAAATTTATTACTGTGTGTGCTAGATTTAATGGTTTGTGTTTGCATTTTTCGTGTGTTTATGTTGTTGTGGTTGTTTGCACATTGTTGTATTTATGATTCATTACGGTGTCATTTGGGCTCATATTATGTTATATGTAAACTAAGTAAACAAGTTGATATTTTTATGACGTCTTGTTTTTAGAGGATATTTTGCCCATTTTTTTTTTTAAAGTTTGAAAAATAATTTTGTAAATTTATTTACACGTGCTAACATATTATGTGATACTTTTATGTTTCAGATGATGTAATAATCATACACTTGATGCATTGGCTTGGCTACGAGACTATTGCCTTGTAGCTCAAGATATGTGGAGAAAACAATCACCCTCATGTTTTGATGTGGTTTAGTGACATTTCTCACCCATGTTATTCGACAATATGGTTTTACACAATGTATATTTGGGGCATGTGATACTAGTAGGGATGTTTATGCTAATCGTCGTGGCAGGGCAGGACATGACTGAATTTCTTTTCATCGGACCTATATTGAGAGGTGAGCCCAGCGTCAGGATAATAGTATTGTGGGAGAGTCCAGCCATGGTCCGATGGATCCCACAGATTCATATATGGTATGGTTTCGACACAGTACTCGTTGTCTTGATAGTTAACCTATTCCCAGGCCTGATGTTGGTTTCAGCTTGTTGGTATTGTCATTGAGTTACTGGTACACATTTGTAATTATTTGCTTACATCTTACCATCATTACATCATATTCAGGCAATACTTTATTCATATGTTTATGTAGGAGGAGACATTCACGGACACATCACACTGTACATTAGACGATTGAGGGTCATCTGAACTTGATTACTTTCTTGGAGGCTATGGCCCATCTCAAAGATATGAGCTCCAAGTGTTTGGAGGCACTTTATGAGCCCCAGTGTCTTATTCAGGACCGCCTGACATTAGGCAGCCACCAGTTGCAGCGTCAATTACTGAGCGTCCATGTGATATCCGTATACAACAGCGGACGTCCACAACACGAGGCCCACGAAAGACCTTTTCAACAATGGATACTGCTTCCACTTCAAATCCAGGCCCACCACTTTCATCTATTACCCTTTCACAGCCATTGTCGGCAATTACATCAGCTGCCTCTATTGTTGAGCATGCCCCTGCACTCGTTGGCCCTTTATCTACAACATCTACNGTAACCGCCTAGTAGTATGTTGTGGTGGTTTGAAAGTAGTTTTTTATTTTTCTGCGGTCATTGTTTAGGGAAATTGTCTATTTTCTTAACATAAATATAGATGCTTTATTTCTATGTTTGTTGGATTTAATGGGTTGTGTTTGCACTTTTCGTGTGTTAACGTTATTGTGGAGGTTTGTAATAGCCTCTTTAGTATTTTGTGGTGGATTGAAAATGATTATGGTGGTTGGTGGTTTGACAGGTTTTTAGATTTGGTTGTCCTATTTTTTGATGGAATTTTGCCGAATTTTTTTTAGATAAATAGCGGTATAATTGTTGGATAAATTTATTACTGTGTGTGCTAGATTTAATGGTTTGTGTTTGCATTTTTCGTGTGTTTATGTTGTTGTGGTTGTTTGCACATTGTTGTATTTATGATTCATTACGGTGTCATTTGGGCTCATATTATGTTATATGTAAACTAAGTAAACAAGTTGATATTTTTATGACGTCTTGTTTTTAGAGGATATTTTGCCCATTTTTTTTTTTAAAGTTTGAAAAATAATTTTGTAAATTTATTTACACGTGCTAACATATTATGTGATACTTTTATGTTTCAGATGATGTAATAATCATACACTTGATGCATTGGCTTGGCTACGAGACTATTGCCTTGTAGCTCAAGATATGTGGAGAAAACAATCACCCTCATGTTTTGATGTGGTTTAGTGACATTTCTCACCCATGTTATTCGACAATATGGTTTTACACAATGTATATTTGGGGCATGTGATACTAGTAGGGATGTTTATGCTAATCGTCGTGGCAGGGCAGGACATGACTGAATTTCTTTTCATCGGACCTATATTGAGAGGTGAGCCCAGCGTCAGGATAATAGTATTGTGGGAGAGTCCAGCCATGGTCCGATGGATCCCACAGATTCATATATGGTATGGTTTCGACACAGTACTCGTTGTCTTGATAGTTAACCTATTCCCAGGCCTGATGTTGGTTTCAGCTTGTTGGTATTGTCATTGAGTTACTGGTACACATTTGTAATTATTTGCTTACATCTTACCATCATTACATCATATTCAGGCAATACTTTATTCATATGTTTATGTAGGAGGAGACATTCACGGACACATCACACTGTACATTAGACGATTGAGGGTCATCTGAACTTGATTACTTTCTTGGAGGCTATGGCCCATCTCAAAGATATGAGCTCCAAGTGTTTGGAGGCACTTTATGAGCCCCAGTGTCTTATTCAGGACCGCCTGACATTAGGCAGCCACCAGTTGCAGCGTCAATTACTGAGCGTCCATGTGATATCCGTATACAACAGCGGACGTCCACAACACGAGGCCCACGAAAGACCTTTTCAACAATGGATACTGCTTCCACTTCAAATCCAGGCCCACCACTTTCATCTATTACCCTTTCACAGCCATTGTCGGCAATTACATCAGCTGCCTCTATTGTTGAGCATGCCCCTGCACTCGTTGGCCCTTTATCTACAACATCTGCCCCTTGTGGTGACATCTGCACCCATGGTGACATCTACAGTTACGTCAGTTGTTCCATCACCAACTTATCATTGGGTTTTATCACCATGACATATATCACTTCACACACCTTTACAAGAAGGGTCTTCAGTAGAGGTGATAGTTACATCAGTTGCTCCTACTGTTGTCCATTCTCCTTCACCTCTGACACTTGTACCCATGGTGACATCTAAAATTACATCAGTTGTTTCACCATTGATCTTTTCTTGTTTAGCCGCAAGCCTATCACATAGATCACTGCACACACCTTTACATGAGGAGTATTTAGCAAGCTTGGTAGTTGAAACATGAGTTGCAACATTGGTCGAGGTTATAACAGATACACCATAGCTGATGATACGTTTCATACACCGATTGTACCACCGGTGACCCATTCAGCAAATGATGACGTTCTTGTTGAGAGATCGACACAAGAGGCCCCACATTTAGGTAGAGGTCGTGCAAGAGTAGCACCTAGAGTTCAAGGCAGAAGACGGGATAGGGGTCGTGGCCATCATGTACATCATTGTGATGTTGGAATGTTGCAGCCCCTAGTGCAAGGCCAACAAGAGTTTTTAGGAAAAAGATACTTGTATCTAAATAGGACACTGTTTTTTAAATTAGAAGTTGCATTAGTTTCTTTTTTCCAAGGAAATAATGTTTCTAGCTTTCATATAAGGGTAAGGTATATGTCCCCACCCCTTCCCCCTCTTCCAACAGTGTATTCTTTATCCTTATTAATAAATTTATTCTCGTATTGACGAAGTTTAATAAAATAAAAAAGAAGAATGTTGCAGCTAACATAAGAGCCCCATCTGCCTGAGGGAAGACCAAAGCGAAAGAGGCGGCCACCTCCATGTCACAGTTTATATATTGTTTAGTCTGTTACATTTATTGTGTTGTTGAACAAAACCTATGTATCACTGTAATTTATTATGTTACATTTTTCATGCTATTGTACTTGGGCAATGTTAACTGACAATTATGTTTTGCAAATTTATTTTCACTGTTCCATTACAGCAAGACTACCAATAGAATTTTGTACTATCTGCTAAAATATTGCCAATTAAGTCCACGTAATAACATAATTTTAAATAGAATCACTAATTTTTTTGTTGTAGGTCATCTTTGTCAGACATTTCAACATCGAAATTACAATTTGGTTCCCTACTCAACGTTAAACTTGTATGTGGTTCTTCCATTAATCCTTTCTTAACATGCTCGTGTACAATGGGTTACATGGTGTACTGACTCAAATGAATGACCATACGTTTGTTTTTTGCACTAAAACGTAATTATTCTCTTTCAAGTTGTTGAGTATCAATGGGCATGACAATGATGATTTGAAGAAGCCTTCGTACATTGTAAATCTGTAGATCTTCGCTTAAAACCTCTTTTTGCTTTAAACGATATTCCCACTTGTTCAACACTATAGATGACACTGAGTAAAATAAATGAGGATTTAATAGATATAAGAACTAATCCTCTAGCGTCCAATTATAACTCATTGTTTCAAACGTACGTGGACTATAATAAATGTCTGAAAAATGTGTCGACTATCTAAGTGGATAAGTTGAATAAATACTAATAATATAATGCATTGTCACGTTTATTGTAAGAAAGACATGCAACAAATGTACACCATGCCAAGTGTATCCGAACTAACCATGTGATTCATACATTTCATTTATCAATGTCTGAATCGTCATACTCATTTTTATAAGGATGTGATAATGTGACCTAACCCTCATGACTTGTAGTTGCACTTAAAATGTTTGGTACACTAAGTATTTTGTCATTATTTTTACATACGGTGACTAAACACTAATGCGCTAGTTGAGAGATCACTTATTTGTTGTCTACCTTTACTACATGTTTCCTCCCTGCTGAAGCTACATCCCACTATCTAAATGTCGTATCCACACCACGGGTGATTGAATATTCATCATTCTAACACTTTCCCAATTCATACATAATTTGTGTTATGTCTACATCCAGTGCAACAGGAGTTTTGAACAATCGTAGATGACAACGAACAAATTGTTAAAATAAATGGACAATGATTATAAAAGTGAGCGATATATTAATCTAAAATTATATTATGTCGGATTATGAAAGAGAGTGACCATTTCGTGTCAATGCATTACACACAGAACTACTAAAACTTCGTGCACCCGTGCCACATCAATGTTTATTGATGATGCAAACGAAGAAATATGTGATGAGACTATGATTCAGTAGTTAGCTGACTTCAAGCGGCAGGGCGGGCCCAACCTTTAGGCAACTAAGTTGTTTGTTTAGGGCCTTAAATTTTAAAGGGCCCTCATAATATTTATCCCTTTAGTATAGTAGGTCTAATTTTTTATGTTTTATTTTATATTTTAGATATTAAAATTTCTAGAGCCCAAATTTTATTAATTCAAATCAGTATCTAATTTTATTAGGTCCAAAATTATTCTCTACTTGGTTAAGCCCAAATTTTAGAGGCTTTCATAAATTTTACCACTTTAGTTTAATAGTCCTTTTTTTTGTATTTTAGATATGATTCAAATTTTTAGGGCTTAAATTTTAATAATTCAAATTAATATCTAATTTTTTTGGGTCCAAAATTACTCCTTCATATGAGCTTTGATTTAAAATTTTCTAAATATTTTGGGGGTTTTTATAGTTGTATTTCACTCACTCACATAAAAAATTTATATTCATTATTTCTTGGGGTGAAAATCTATAAAATTAGTTCATTTTTTGTCTTAATATAAATTTTCATTCCAAATAATTTATACTTAAATTGTCTATGTTATTAAAGGTTTGTACTTCATACATGCACATTACTCATGGGTAAAGAATGATTCTTTATTATCTTAAAATTATTCTTTGCTCACATATTCTACTATTAAATTACTTGTTGAAAACTTAAATTAAGGAAAATTTATTTACAATAAGAGTGAATGAATTAACAATATTATCTATTAAAAAAATTATTGTCAAAATTTGAGTATAAAAATTTGATCAATATTTTAATTTTTTAAAAAACATAAAAAAATTATAATAATTTAAAATAAAATATAACAATAGATAAAATATTAACAGGCCTCATGTGAAAATTTTGCCTAGGGCCTCCTTGACTTTGGGCCGCCCCTGTCAAGCGCAGAACAATAGGATGTTGGTTCGTAGAAGTTGATGCTATATACTCAAAATTGCTACTGACAAGACATTAGTTGCATCATGGGCGAGAGTTAATGCCTCTTGAACAAAATAATATATTGAGTAATGAATGGCACCTGTCAGATGATGAGTGTGTTTTAGATTAAGAATCACAAGTCTAATGAATGAGACCTGCACCAATAACAATGAGTTATGTTTATTAGCGTCATCATGATAAGTCTACTCAAAATTAAATCATGCCGAAAATTTATCGGACATTGTAGTATTCAGTCATCTTAGTATTGTCAATGTTATATGTGATGTCTCACTTTAGTAGTATCATCAGTGACGAGACATGTCAATTTTAAATCATATCAGAAAGTTATTAGACTTAGTAGAGTTGAGTCATCGTAGTGCTGTCAGAGTTTAAGAGTGATATGGGTGATATATCGTTTTATCAATGTCACATAAAATCTTTACTTCATCAGAGTTTCAGATGAGTCATATCAATGAGACCTAGTGGTACACCAGCATATACACATATATGTATATAGTAAGACTTCACAATGTAAACCCTAAACTAAAATGCTTAGAAGATCATCGCATAAAGTTTCTAGACAAACCAACGATGGCTCGTCCTCATAGCTTGTTGTAAATCTCGAGTTAACGAAGTGTATTTCAAAAGATAAAAGTCCCTTGTCTTTGTACTCATTCGAGTTGAACATTCGATAGTCATTATTCCACTTTATTTCTATCCCACATTAACTAAACAGCAAAAAAAGTTTCACTTTACATTTTATTGCACTATAAGGACTTAGTAATTGTGAGATAGGATATAGTGGTACTCTCATGCGAATGAGGCCAAGTGGAGGCCCAAAGAATTTAGAGAAATCTTTTCAAAAACCAATTAATCGGGTGCGTTGCAGACAACTCGAGCATGGGGGGGGGGGGGATGCAAATCCCCGAATTTGGGCCTCGTGGGTGTGCATGATTGAACCCGAGTTTTGCCACTTTGACCATTTTTTTTCACATTTTTTTTATTTTCAAATAATTAATCCCGAAATTATTTTCCTTGATCAGTGACCAATTGATTTGACCCACATGTTTATTATGCAATCAATTATTAGTCGTTATAGCATAATTAGTTCTGCTAATTTTTTTCCCTTTCTGTTTTCCCTCCCTATAAATTGAGACCTTGTCCCATCAGAGTTCTTCTCTGCTTTTCACTAATTCACCATCTCCCTATTCTTCTCTATCTCCCTTTTTCTCTTTCTCTGCACTCGTTCTAAGTTTTGGGTTGGTAAAGTTATGGCTATTCCTAGCTTTTCACATTACAAGTGCGAGTTTGTGAGAAGCAATTATTGTATCCTGGAGGGTAAGTGTCNTCATCAGAGTTTCAGATGAGTCATATCAATGAGACCTAGTGGTACACCAGCATATATACATATATGTATATAGTAAGACTTTACAATGTAAACCCTAAACTAAAATGCTTAGAAGATCATCGCTTAAAGTTTCTAGACAAACCAACGATGGCTCGTCCTCATAGCCTGTTGTAAATCTCGAGTTAACGAAGTGTATTTCAAAAGATAAAAGTCCCTTGTCTTTGTACCCATTCGAGTTGAACATTCGATAGTTATTCTTCCGCTTTATTTCTATCCCGCATTAACTAAACAGCAAAAAAAGTTTCACTTTACATTTTATTGCACTATAAGTACTTAGTAATTGTGGGATAGGATATAGTGGTACTCTCATGCGAATGAGGCCAAGTGGAGGCCCAAAGAATTTAGAGAAATCTTTTCAAAAACCAATTAATCGGGTGCGTTGCAGACAACTCGAGCATGGGGGGGGGGGGGATGCAAATCCCCGAATTTGGGCCTCGTGGGTGTGCATGATTGAACCCGAGTTTTGCCACTTTGACCATTTTTTTTCACATTTTTTTTATTTTCAAATAATTAATCCCGAAATTATTTTCCTTGATCAGTGACCAATTGATTTGACCCACATGTTTATTATGCAATCAATTATTAGTCGTTATAGCATAATTAGTTCTGCTAATTTTTTTCCCTTTCTGTTTTCCCTCCCTATAAATTGAGACCTTGTCCCATCAGAGTTCTTCTCTGCTTTTCACTAATTCACCATCTCCCTATTCTTCTCTCTCTCCCTTTTTCTCTTTCTCTGCACTCGTTCTAAGTTTTGGGTTGTTAAAGTTATGGCTATTCCT